AAATATGTTTTAAATTTATTAAGATTGAAATGACAATAAAAAATTTAAAAATAATTTATTTATTTTATTTATTAATAATAATTATTAATTACAAATGCTTAACACTAAAAATTTAAAATATTTTCAAAAGTACATATTTACCTCTCATAAAATATTTTCAAAAGTACATAATTACATCTTATGGCAACAAAAGAAATTTTCGTGTCGGCTCTTTTGCCTCACACACAATATTACATCCCAAACACTTCAAATAATGTTTACTCATTATTATAAAAAAAATTTTTTTTTTTACAACTACTTAATTTTTTTTTTAATATTACACGTCTTTTTAAAATTTATTTTTATTATTTTTCATATAAATTATAATAATTTTTTTTAAACACTTTTTTTCCGCTTCGCTTTTATAATACGAATGCACCTTTTTTCCCACCTTGTACTGGAATGAATTACAGAATTTATTGTGTCGCTTTTAAATTTCTTAATATTTTTCCCTATACTTTATATAGGAACAAATAATAAAGTGTGGCCTTTCAAAATTACATTATAAAAAAACAGGTTGGCAACTATTGCGTACTCTTTCCCTCTCCCAAAAATTCTTATGTGTATAAAAATGAAAATAAGAAAGTATACTGCTTAACTCTTTTAACTAAGGGAATTTTTTGTATACAAATATTGGTGAGTGATTGCATTAGTGTGATGTAAACGGAGAGTCGAACTACTTGTTAGTAGATATACTTTGCGTACGGTGTATTGAAAATTGATCTTCGTATTTTATGTTAAGAAATATATTTTTATATTAGGAGTTTTCGAATAAATTAGAAAAGTTCATGGCGATATAGGATGTTTGAAAAATAAAATAGATTAAATACAAAACATATACATATATTATTATATTTTATTTAAACAATAACAAAATTAAATTTCATGTTCTTACAAACTAGAATAATAAATTACAGGTAGCAAAACATTTTTTAGGTAGAACAAAAATAGTAAATATATGTAACAATTGTTTTTTAAAAAAAAAATTTAAATACACTTTTTTTTATTGCCTACATAATATATTTATATAAAAAAATATAATTTTTATTCCATTTTTCTTAAAACTAGTAATATTTGACCAGAAAACCTATAAATTTTATCATATAAATATACCTATGAATTCAACTAAATTACACTAAATTATTTAATTTTCTTTCATCAGAGATTAAATTACTACTTATTTAAATTGTTAAAATCTTAACATAAGGTAATTGATTAAATTAATATAATTATTTACTAAATTAAAATTAAATTTTAAAATATTAAACAGCAAATTAATTATTATACCGCTCAGCGACACAGAGTTCCCGTACGAATTTTATATGTGGACTAAAGAAATGTTATAGTCTAATTTTTTGTAAAACCAGTAAAACCCTATTCTATAGACACAAATACAAAAATATTAACATGTCTTGTATATTTATTATAAGAGTTTATGGCAAATAAACACTTACCTCGTTTATATGGCAGCTTGAGTACTTGACTTGAAATCAGCTTGAAACTCAAGCAGCGTTTTTAATATGTCAGCTTCAAAGCTTGAAAATGACATTTAGCTTGAAATCAGCTTGAATTTGACAGTCTTTGAAGTAATAGAAAACAAAGTAATTAAAAAAAAAAGAAGTTGTAATTAATATTAGAAAATATGGATTGTAAAAACAAACAAAAACTCTTAATAAAGTGCATGGAAAATTATAAAATCCATCAGGAAAATATAATCAAAGTTTTTATAAAAAAAAAATAATAGAAATAGAGTGAAATTTTTAAGAAGATTAAAAAATAGAATAAATATCAATTTTAAAAGACATAGTGATAACATGAAGAAAAATATTGAAATTATACAAAATTCTCAGAAAAGAAGCAGAAAATTATGGATGAAGGATATTTTTTGCCATCGATTTTTTCTATAATTTTTTGTTCCTTAAAAAGCTCCAGCATAACCCGCGTCTCCTCATTGCTCCAAATATTTCTTTTCGACATATTCTACAAAAAATTATAAGTTTATAATAATAAATATCAAAATAAAAATACAAAATATCATGTACATATGTTCAAAAATTAACTTACCTTTCATTTGTATTGACACTTAATAGTTTCAAATTCATAAAGCACTCTATTTCTACTGTCATTTTAGGACAAAATAATGTCTTTATATCTAACAAGTCCCAATGCTCAGAGAGAAACTTGAAAGCACACCTTATTTTATATGGCCTTTTTTAAATCGAAGTGGCTATTTTTTGAGAAGAAATATTAAAATAAATTCACACTTATTATAAAGCAGGTAAAATTTAGAACATATATTTGAAAAATCAAAAAAATATATTAATATTTTCATTGATAATTATTTTAAAATTTAAAAAAAAGCGGAAAACAACAAACACAACCTTCGCCTTCAACGTTTTATTTGTTACTGAAAGCATTTCATTATTTTTAAGTGAACAGCTTTTTTTTCTCATAGGGTAAGTTAACGCAAGATATGGGAAGTACCTGTGGTGTCAAGTTGAAAATATAATTAATGAAAGATAATTCTTAAATATTGATATAAATACATAGTAAAGAAAAAATTTGAAGAGGGAATTAGAAAATAATATCTAAAATACAATCAAATATTATTTGTTAAATACAAATTTTATATAAACTTTAAAATTTTACCTCTATTTTTATTTGAAAAAATATTAAAAACTTACTATCATTTATATCAATTACCTAAGAAAAAAAAATATTTAAAATGTTTGGAAAAAACAATCATATATTTTTATGACCGGATTTGAATATTTTTCTATTTTTGAAATAAATGGTATTTTCCCAAATGACTCGAAAATTCCGACTGTAAAATAACAGGTATTTTAAAATTTTTGTTCAGGTATTTTAAAATTCTTTCCGTTTAGAATTAAGATAGGTCATACATACACATGCAGGGACATTTTATAAATAGATTGCTCTTGTTTACCTGCTAATAAAATATGAAAAAAGAGCACAGCAAAATTTTTGAAGCACTCAATATAACATGTTTGAAATAGTTTTAAAATAATTATTTAAAAAAAATTTATTGGAAGTAGGTACATACATATTTATTTTTAATAATTTAAAAACTAACTGAAATTATTTGAAACAATTTTATAAGTAACGTATGAATAACGGAAATGAGATAATTCAAATTGTTGAAATGTGTCAACCTATATTAATTTTACTAAAATTTTTGTTAGCCGACACTACTCAACTTACCTTATTGGGAAATACAAAATGTGCATAAAAAATCATACATCCTTCCTCATTAACATTTGAAACTATACTGAAATATGAATTTGAAATTTTTTTTTTCTTTCCTCCTACCTTTCTTTCTTTTTCGTGCAATAGAATTTAAATGGGAAGCTTTTTAAAAAATGTGTATAATATCCTGAGATTTTTTAAAATATTAATCTCTTTTTTACGTAAAAAAAAAGAAAAAAATAATAAAAAATATGACACGATCAGTGGCATTTAAAGAAAAAACCAACAACGAGGCCAAAAATTCGTAACATTTCGTAAAAAAAATTGAGTATTGGGACTTGTTAGATATAAAGACATTAGACAAAATATTAAATTCTGTCATTTTCAAGCTCTCAAGCTTTCAAGCGGTGTTTTTACTTCAACATTTCAAGTCAAGTAGGCAAAATTTTTTGATTGACTTGAGTGAAGCCGATTTCAAGTCAAGCAGTGTTTATATGTTCATAAAATAGGCTTCAAGTAAGCTTGAAGCTGCCATATAAACGAGGTAACTGTAATTATGATCATACCCCTGTATATGACATATCATACAAAACCAGGTTGTAAGCAGAAAACCAAAACAATAATAAAAGAAAGCAAGTGTCCAGCAAAGGGTTTTTTTTTTGGTGAAAGTGTTGCACAAAATTACAAAAATTTCCTTAACAAAAATTTTAAGTTTCAAATTTTTCTTTTAAAATTCAAGACAGTCGTAATCCTTTTGATTCTCATTTTGACAAATGAAACTTCCATTTATAATAATTTGGACAACGACGTTTGAAAACAACTATTTTTTTAGGAGTTCTTACTAATAAAGGGGTAACAATACTTTTTTCTATTCAAAAAAGAAATAACATTTATTAATGTGAGTATCAATAATTTGATAATTTACAAAAAAGTTGTGAATCAAATTACAAAGTTACGAAGTTACCAAATGAAACATAGTTACCATTTTTGATAGAAATTTATCAAACTGGCAATCCCATTTGTAGAACAAAAGAGTGTATATTAAGTGTTCACAAATTGTGTTGTGAATCAATCATATATTTGCGATTTCTCTTTTTTGTTTTACTTCTGCTGTTTTTTGTTTTTTTTTGCTGTAAAAGTTGAAAACAGAAAAAGAACAATTTTCAGTACATGTCAAAATTCATATAGATTACACATTTACATAAGGAACTTTCCTAAATGGAAAGAAAATACAGCGAAATTAATCGTCGTCGCAAAACATCCACGATAATTCACAGTGTCCGGAAAATTCTGAACAGTTAATATTGCCGTTGCGTTAGACCTCTCTCTATTCAGTATCTCTCACTAAACACTTTGGTCAATAAAACCAAAGGTAAATAAAGAAACTTAACTGAAAAAATACTTTGACTTAAATATGGGAGAGCGAGTTTTTATTTTTGTTTAAAAGCACTTTTCAGCATAATGAAATGTGTTTAATAAAATAGAAATAAATTTTAATATTTCAATTTGTTTTATTTTTATTACAGAGTTGGTGTTTATGGAGATCTTAGAAATTAAATTAAGCATTTCAAATGTAAATTTTTTGAATTAAATGCGAAATTTAGAAAAAAGAAAGTTCTAATTTTAAATTGAATAATGTTTTATACTGAATTTCGTGCTATTCCAAAAGTGAACTATTTAACGATGGTACGTCTGTTTCTTGTTGCAGCTATATTATAATAACGTCAAATGAATTGTCAAAATTAGCTCGACTTTATTCGTCGCCATGTTGGATTTCTAAATGGTATCCTTTATTGTTTTGAATCTTTTGTTTATTCCCATATGTTTTGTAAATAAACTAAAAGGCTTTTGTACATATAAAAGAATGAAATCGTTGCACTAAAATCAAACTTTTTTTTATTGTTTAACTTGACCCAAGTTTTAAATGGTAATATTATTTGCTACAAGTAATGGCAGCTTTCAGTCATTGCAGTTTTGAAACACCAGGTGAATGTTTTAAAAATGTTTATGTAGGTTTAATATTAACTTTTTTTTAGTTTCACGATTTAAATAGAACAAATCTATTCACAATTTTGATTTAATTTTTGTTTTAAATATTGTTCATATTTTTCATTTATATGTATCCTTGAACATACATATGTATCCTTATTAATAAAATTAGTTCGATCAGTTAACTTTAAAATTGTATAAAAATATAATGATAAGATTATGATAGCGAAAAATTGTTATTTTATAGATCTAACACCAGAGCAGCAGAGATTATTGATTGAATTACGCAGGCAGAAGCAGGAACTTTTATTAGAAATTCAGGTAAGATCCTTAAAATTGTAAGTTACATACTATGTAATAGAAAATAATCTAAAAACCCAGTATATGTATGTATGGATTTTTGTAACCAAGAAAACTCATTTTTTGATTTTTGATACTGCAGAGTTCTTTTTACAAATCTAGAGTTAAGTTGTTTCTGAAAGTGAAGTTCGAATACCAAGAGGTTGCCAATATTCTAATACGTATACTTATACTCTCGTACTATTTACATATATTTTAATTAGAAAATGTATTTTGCAAACGGTTTATGAAAATGCTAGTTCAAATAATCATTCATGTTGGTTTATTTTTCAGTTTGTTATATTATTAGAGTTGTAGAGTTCGACAACAAAAAAAAGGAAGCCTATTACTGTTCTTTACTGGTTCGTCGGTTTTGAGCTGAGTTATTTAAAGTCGAACTATTTATTGTTTATATATTCTCTTCTGAAATAAGCAAAGGGATTTTTTTTTGTTATGATACTTTCTTGACATAACAAAAATATCAAGGCCTGGTTCAACTCTCTTTTGTGAATGCATGTATGTGTTAAAATTACGAATGTTTGTTTAGCAAATTTATTCTATAATATACGACAAATGTTGTGCATTCTAGAATTAAAAATTATAGCACCAAATTGTTTTTTAACCATTGTATCATTTTTTACCTTCAATTTTCTCAGATATGGGGGTTCAAAAAAATATTGAATAAACTCAAAAATAGATTTAATTAAAATCATAGTTAAAATTTCGAGTTGAAATCTGAATTTTTGATATGTTGTTCAGAAAACTAGGTTTTACTCAATTTTTTCCATAAAAAACTCGAATATTATTTTTTAATAAATAAGTTATCTGACAGTTCTTTTATTTAATTTCTATGAAAGTGGGGCAAACTTTATATGAGATTCTATAACGTCCAAATTAAGAGTAAAACGCTTTTTTTTTAGGTGTACGAAAAGTAAACTCCCTTTTATTCGGAATAAAATTCTTTTTATTTTTTGCTGATATATTTCGTGCGCTACATACTCATTTTGTCAAAGCTGATTTTCTTCTAATTGCGACAACAATAAAATTAAAATCCATTAAAATTAGAAATATACCTGACTTTATCTATAATTTAATTTTGTTTTTATTATTAATTACAAACTAAAATTATACCTGTTTTGAACCTTACAACTGGCCAAATAATTAATTTAAAGAGCCAAGTAGCCGCGTTAGCTTCGTCCGTGTTCAGTAGGCAGTCCTTGTATGAACAAACGTTGCAAAGTTTTATCCAAATTGTAAACTGAAAATATTGTACAACTGATCAAAAATATTTATAAATCCCAAAAGCAAGAATAAAGCAAACCGTATACTTATGAAAGCGTATACAAATTTTACAACATAAATTTTTATGTGCGCTTTGCTTAGATATTAATTGTGTATCTGCTTATTTCAGTCACCAATCGCGTAACTATGTAACATATACATATTTGTATAATGTAATTTTCGAGTGAGAAAAATTATACCTTATTGCTTATCTTGTTTTTCTAGTTGAATAATGAAAAATTTTTTCTAAAAACGGCGAATTCTTATTCGCTTTGCTTAGAGATTAATTGTGTATCGTTATTTCAGTCACCAATCGATTATTTATGCAACATATGTATTTGTACAATATAATTTTCGAGTGAGAAAAATTATACCGTATTGCTTATCTCGTTTCTTTTTAAATGCATACAAAATTTATTCACTTTGCTTTTGAAGATGATCGATCTTTAAAAAGAAGAGAAAAAAATTTGCAAAGTATGCATTTGCAATGAGCGCCGGAAAACCTAGAAAAAAACTAAGTTTTAAAAACTAACAATTTTACACGATAAGGCTGTTAAACTGTCAAAACTTAAGGATGCATGTGTTGACTATTTTAATTTTTTGTGTTAGTTTTGCTAAAAGGTTTAAACTTAAGTCTTAACTTGAGCTTGATTAAAACATCATTTTCTATATTTTGTATTTGTTGGTTTAAAAAATTTATAATTGACGTTAACCGTTTTTTTACAATATGTTGTTTGTTAGGTTAACATAGGCTACTATGTAATAAAAGCTTGTTTTGAGACGATTTGGATGCTACATTATATTTTTTTGTTATTTTAATGTTTTCTATCAGGACATGAAATGTACAGTTTTGCTGTTTGCTATGAATACAACTAATATAAACAGTTGAATATGAAATGTACAAATTAATATGTGCAAATGTTTCATTTTCAACTTGTATAACATATTTATATTTCAATTCCTTGAAAAGTTGTATGATGTCGAGAAGTAAAAAAGTGCTGATATCTAATTTTTCAAAAAAAATTTTTTAACTAATTGGTTAGTTATAAAATGTTCAAAGGATTTTTTTATTAAAACTGTTGACTAAATTAAATTTTTTTATTGCATCGAAAAGCAATAAAATTTTAGGTAATACTGTATTTACAACTTGTTTTTTTCAACAATATTGTTATCATGTTCTAATAGAAAACTCAAAAAATGTGTCATGTTTGCAGTCTTTACTAATTCAGTCAGGTCTTACTCGAAAATATACTGCGGCAGAGCTAAAAGGAAAAGCACTGCTAATGAAAATACCTATTCGTAACAAATGTCAAATTCAAAAATTGTTGAAGTAAATAAGGCTAAACTATATTTGGCGTTTCTCATACATTCAAAAGTGAATAATGTCATTTTTACCAAAAATTTAAAAGAATAAAAAAATCGAATTATTTAACATAAAAAATATATCATAACCCAGCATTTACACGTACAAGTTACTTGCAAGAAAGTTGCAATACATACAAAAATTTTACTAACACATTGAAATATTTCTACTTGCTTGTTTACTTGCAGTTCAACTTGCAAGAAAATTTTGCTGCCAGTAATTTGAGCAAGTAATTTGACATATTGAGAAATTCACAAAAAAAAATTTGTTGTTTTGATTTTTTTTTTTTTAATTTAAAATTTTTGAATTTTGTTTTGAAAAAATTAAACTTAGCAAACTTATGGTTTCTAAAATTTATAAACAATTATATATATTGCTAGTTGTTTTCTTCTCAAAGACATTTTCAAAAATCAACTTGCTAAACGCCTACGTCATAATAGCAAGTAATTTGACATTTCGAAAAACTAATTGACAATTAATATTATACAAACTTGCTTGCAAGTAACTTGTATGTGTAAATGCTGGGTAACGGAAGGAAAATTTGTTTTTGTGTCATATATCAAAACATATAATATATAATATGTTCACACTTTTGAAATAAATTGTACCAACTCAACAAATTAAAACAAGAATTTGACTAAACTAATTGCAATATAAATCGGTTGTGGATGTTAATTTTAAAGCTAAGGTGTTAATAAATCTGACGTCATGGGGTAGATGCATCAAGGGGTTTGAAAATTGTCGTTTTCGATTGGTCTTTCCAGTTTCGTATCAATTTTTGCATGTAAAAAAACTAACCCAGCATTTACACGTACAAGTTACTTGCAAGAAAGTTGCAATACATACAAAAATTTTACTAACACATTGAAATATTTCTACTTGCTTGTTTACTTGCAGTTCAACTTGCAAGAAAATTTTGCTGCCAGTAATTTGAGCAAGTAATTTGACATATTGAGAAATTCACAAAAAAAAATTTGTTGTTTTGATTTTTTTTTTTTTTTAATTTAAAATTTTTGAATTTTGTTTTGAAAAAATTAAAATATAAATTTTATAAACAATTATATATATTGCCAGTTGTTTTCTTCTCAAAGACATTTTCAAAAATTAACTTGCTAAACGCCTACGTCATAATAGCAAGTAATTTGACATTTCGAAAAACTAATTGACAATTAATATTATACAAACTTGCATGCAAGTAACTTGTATGTGTAAATGCTGGGTAAGACCTTGATATTTTTTTTTCAATAAGATTATTTTTAAAATCTGAGTTAATATCTGTTATATAGCGTCAAATTTGCAAACATGAATGCTATATAATAGATTCTGTTCATTATTAAGCTATGATAGTATACTAGTTTCGAATGTCTATAGTGCGATAGGTTTCAGTTATTTGTACATTCAGAAACGTAACGGCAACAACGTTTGATTTTCTTATAAAATGTCACACCATTTATTAAATTAAATGAAAACCTTAGAACTGGCATTTGTCAATGTAAAGAAATTTTTAGGTGAAATCAATCTAATACTCGAATTGATAAATTTGTATGAAATGTTTTTTATGAAAACTTACTAAATATGACAAATTTCTTTTTCAATAAAGTAATTTTTTCCGACTAATTTTAAATATTCATATATGTATATTTTTATGTTATTTGTCTAATTATTAAATTTTGACCAATATAATAAGTAGATATGATTTGTGGAAATTCCATCTTCAATATAGGTCTTGTTTAGTACGTAAAGTATACTTTTCTTTACGAAATGTAGTTCCTCATTCTCATAAATTTGTGATGTTGTATAACATACTTATAAAATTTCTTAATTATTTTTAAATAAAATAGCAGACATTTTTTTTGTTGTTTGTTTTTATCGCTTATTTTTTAAATTTTGAGCGGTTAGCTTTATATAAGAATGCGTTAATAATAAGGAAACAAAAATTTACTCACTTTTACAGTAAAATTAAATAATTGTAAAAAAGTTTTATTTTACGTTCCTATCTCTTTAAAATCTAATTTCATATATGTATGTACATATATTTTTGAAGAGTAGTGTGGAAATCAACTGGTAATTAAAAGAAAAGTAATGAAAGATGGAAGGTGTACAAAAAGTCAAGGCAATGCTTTAAGAAGGTTTACTTAGGTTTCAAGGAAAGATTATACTCACGATTAAGGTAGTTTAATATAGGTCAAATTCATTTAAAAATTGTAATTGGTTGGAAAAATTTTATAAATGGCAAAATTATTTTCCTTACTTATTTTTTTAATTAATTTTCAAATTATTCGAAATACTTTTCGAATGAATTTTGTGCAAATTAAAATCGACTAATTTTTTCATCGAA